AACCTTGTTAAGGATCTAGATCTACTCAGCTGTGTGTCAACCAGTGAGGCGTTCGATATTTCAAGACGGAAAACCTTCGCTGGCGATGAGTACTCGGCGTACCTATAGGCTTTGATGTGAGCTACTTTTCTAATGTTTTGTTGATAATTCACAGGCGTGAACTTTTTATATGTTATGACAGTAGATTACCGATTTAACTGTTTATATGAATGATGACTATTTCACCACGTTCTTCTTACCGTATCGCTTTCTCAGCAACGTCATTATTTAGCATTGTCAGAATTTCTAACTGTGATATCGATACTAGTATGCCTCTGTCACAGACAAAACTCAATGTCTGTTTTATTGACACCTATGTGTCTGCCCGCCTGTCTGCTAATGATAATATGCAATACACAACTTTGATTACTGACCACATGAAATTTAAACTTAACACCTATCAGGCTATACACAATAAACAAAACGCATTGTCAGATTTATGGCTCGTGCACCCGAGTTCTGTCGCTGTAACATTATGTAATTAAACAGACAGGCAGGTTTGATATTTGTACACATGACTTGTTATGATGTCTGTTGATTGCAAAATGTTATACAAAAAAAGTGAGCATGTATTTACAAAACCCAACATCTCTATACACACACAAAGAGCCCTGAGTATATCGGCAATTGAACAAGCCAATGAAAGACTTCGTTACACGCCCACCAGCTCTTACTGGGTTCGGTATCCCGGGTGCTTCGTTTCGAGGGAAGTAAACCCAAGTACAAAATATTGCTTTTTTGATTTGCGATTGTACGCTTATAATTTTGTTTATTTGTTTTTGTTCATAATCAGCAATGTATATTATATCTCATGAATAAATGATAAATGTGTTTTAATTATGTTTATTTTTGTTGGTTGCATCTAAGCTTTAAAAGTTGGTTTACGTGCTTATTATTTATATTTGATCTGTAATATGAGAAACGATAATAAAGACTGCAAGTTGCCAAGTTCATGTGCTGAAATAGAACCTCTCAATTTACAGCAGTTAATTTATTTATTTTTGTGTGTATGCATGTAAGATCAAATATATTGAATATTTACAAAAGTTCAAACGTACTTGTACGCAATCGACTTCAGAGGAATTGAGTCTGTGTAACTGTCTGGAATAGCAATGTGTAGCCCCGTGTACTCCTTTTACAACGTATTCAGAATGGTGTTTTTCACGGTATTTGGTTGATGTATTGCCAGTGCTCCATGCTTTGTACTGTTCTATGTTTCCGCTGGGACGGGATTGAATTTTCTGTCCTTTATGATGCTAATGTGAGAAACAAGATGCGTTGAAAACGTGGTAAATATATGAACTGTCACACTTGCATCCGACTTGTACAACTCCCTTTTGTTCTTGGTGCCATAGATTTGGTACCCTGACCCCATGATAAACGATGAATGATTCTTTTTCGATTTTGCATTACCTTTATTAATAAATCTCAATTATGTGATTCATTCCTCACACATTGAAAGCGTGCAGTCGGGCTGATATATATTATGATTAATTGATTCTGGAAAATACTATATCGCTTTTGTTAACTGCTGAACATTAAAGATAATGTCATTATAATCAAAGTGACGCCATTTCACAAGTTTTCATTGCCTTTATTACGTTACCAGGTCCAACCAACCACACACTATAAACTGTGTTTAGACTTAGACTTTGAGTAGAGTCAGGGACTATTGGTTGAATTTTGGCGCTCCAACATGAAATTAAGAAATGATTTCTTTTTAAATAGTTTTACCGATGTTTAATACCGCCATAATTAAATAGTGTTATGTTATAGTCACCTTATATCTGCTTAACTTTTAAAATTGATGAACGAGCTATCTCTGCTCAACATTGAGTGAGTTTAGTTTTACGCCGCTTTTAGCAATATTCCAGCAATATCACGGCGGAGGAAATGGCTTCACACATTGTACTCATGTGGGGAATCGAACCCGGGTCTTCGGCGTGACGAGCGAACGCTTTAACCACAAGGCTATCCCACCGCCCCGCCTCCTCAAAATACTTCTCGCTTTTCTCTCCCGCCGGAGATTCTTCTCGTCTATAGAAACAGCCTTAACAAACGCACGGCTTTGCTCTGACATGCCAAGACATGTCGCGGCAGGTGTTTTGCCCCTTTTTAAACAAGTGTTACTAGGGATACAAACTGTAAACCGTTCACGCTCTTCTAGTCTTCCCCGAAAACCATACGGCATAATGACTGCATTCGAGGCAAATCTTGAACCGTCATCGAGCTCGCGGACACCTATGTTTCAACAGAAGTGAGTTAGTGAGTGAGTTCTGTTTAACGCCGCACTGCACAACTTTCCAGTAATATGATTGATATTTTTTCCTTAACGCCGCAAGCAGCACTATTTCAGCTATATAGCGGCGGTCTGTAAATAATCGAGGCTGGACTAGACAACCCAGTCATCAACAGCATGAGCATCAATCTACGTAATGAAGATACGATGACATGTGTCAACGAAGTCAGCGAGCCTGACCTCCCGATCCCGTTAGTCGCCTCTTACGACAAGCACGGGTTACTGAAATTGTAACCTTGATCTTCAGGGGTTCCAGTTATATGAAGGCGTGTCAGCTATATATGAGGGGAAATCCCGAGGGGAAATCCCGAGGTGATGCAGGTCTCAGAGGTTTATCACCTAGGTTATACCAATGTTGCACGGGTATGGTGCTGATGACGTCAATGAGACATAAACAGAACTTGACCTATACCAAACACAAGGGGTGACTATTGAGGGGGAAACAACTATTGCGATAGCGATAGTCTATTGCAACATACTATTGTGATAGTCTATTGCGACCATTTCCCAAATGAATGTATAGTTTATATGAAATTGAAGTAGTTTCAGTCTCTTTTGATAACTGACAAGAAACTTGAAACCCAGATCATGTAAACAGTTAACAGGTAAAGGGGGTGGATAACTCAAAATCAACGTGAACGAATCTGGTACTTCCTGTATTTGCACTGCGCATTTATCAACGGAAGTCAATTACTAAACTATTGATAGTCACTCATACTATCGATGCATCGATAGTTTTTCGTTTCAACCATCGTTTGATTGCTCTCGGAGACTCAGCAATTGCAATCCATCGGTAGTTCGATGCATGGTTACATCTCTACCAAACACGAGGCTTGCAGTCCCACTACTGCTTCCAACCTGCTTATTGTTCAGAATACATTACTGAGAATTAGTGGTGTTCCGATTAATTGAAATAATCGAAGATTGGTCGCAGTGACCAAACGACCAAGCAATCGATCACATTTTCTCATAATCGAACACAAACGATTTTGGAACTACTGTTTTAGTCTTTGAAACTCTTGTGGATGGAACATATATTCGAAGTTGTCAGGGCCTGAAAATGTGTTAGAAAACTCACTTCAATAACTGAAAAGTCATGACTTAATAATAGTTGAAGGCTCTGAGTAGTTTATGTTCATGATATATTAGTCATCACTTTAAAGTAGCAAGTTGCATCATGTTATACTTATCTGCAAGAACAACCTGAATAGAAAAATCTTTAAAATGACGATAACCAATTTTTTTCGATGATTTCTCGTTGGTAATGAAGCAATCATCAATTGTGAGATTTCAACCAATTCCCAAGTTGAACACTACTGTGAATGACATTACTGAGAATGTAAAATATACACTGGATTAAAAAATAATAATGTGTAACTCTATCGAACAATCCACGGAAACAGTGTCAATTTTGTTTTTTAAAAGGTACCGTTTGAATTAAGAGTTACCAAGTTTTTCGCTACGCTACTTAAGAACTTTAAAGATGGTAACCGATAAAATTATTTCATTGGACGATATAAATAGAACAAGGTTATCACCCTGTCTTTGATTCCACTGGTGCCAACGACATAGTCATATGAGCATTCGGGTCTGAGAACGACTACTGATGCCATCGCGACTGGTTTCTTTCTTTGGAAACCGGTGTTTCCAAGGGCAAGGTCGCCATTATCTACCAAAGTTCCAATACTGGTGTTACATATCAACTTCACTATAAGGCGCCGGAAGGTATATTGTGTCAACAGATTCTTGAGATAGCGTAAGTTAGTAAATCGTTGTTGTTTCTGATTTCGTATAAATCATGAACGTTTGGTGCCGTTTGATTATTTCCACGAAGGCATAAAACTGATGTAATTTGTTTCTCAAGTCACAACATGTAGCAGCGCGCCCCTCTGTGTAACACACGTAAACGCTGACTGTCTGGAATAGCAATGTGCAGCCCCGTGTACTCCTTAACAACGTATTCAGAATGGTGTTTTTCACGTGTTTGTTTGATGTATTGTCAGTGCTCCATTCTTTGTACTGTTTCCGCTGGGACGGGATCGGTGGCCTTGACATTTGACATACATATATAATAATAGACTCGTATACTGCCCCTGGCGTGTAAGAGCCAACAAACTTGATCTTTGCGTTTTTGATAAAACTAATTACATAATTTTTAAGATTGCATTTTCTGTCCTTTATGATGCTAATGTGAGAAACAAGATGCGTTGAAAACGTGGTAAATATGTGAATCTTGCTTATGAACTGTCACACTTGCATCCGACTTGTACAACTCCCTTTTGTTCTTGGTGCCATAGATTTGGTACCCTGACCCCATGATAAAAGATGAATGACTCTTTTTCAATTTTACATTACCTTTATTAATAAATCTCAATTATGTGATTTCTGCTACGTAACTGATGTGTGAGTACCCGGATGTTCATGCTGTAACAAGACACTCAGAGAGAAACGTATTACTTCCAGTATCGTGCACTTACTTCCCAATTAAGACTCACAGCTATGAGATGCTGGAAGATTTATTGTTACCTGCACCAACTGCAACCTGTTACTAATGGTAACATGCACCAGTCATTTTTAACATGCACGTTTTAATAGCAAAATTGCACCCTGATTATATTTTGCATAACGATCAGGCTCATTTTCCTTCACAATATATAGTCTGAGTCTGAGCTATACAGCTTTGTGTGGGCACAACCAAAGTCCCCGCTCATTGTTTCTCAAGAGCCATTGATATCAGCCTGCACTACAACTCGAGACTGTACACGCACCGGAACGTGAGACCAGTCCTTATTATTGTGATGACCCATAAATCTTTCAACTTATAATGTGAATGGTTCGTTTCAGTAAACAGTACTGCCGTAGCTACGCGCAAGACGGTTGAGGCTTCAAGGAGGACAACTGGTGTTCACAGCCGAACAAATAAGGCAATGGCGGGTTTCACCGAATCACGGTTGACAGGAGCGGACATTGGCGTGGTGGTAGCTTACTTCGTCCTAGTCATTGGTATCGGGCTGTTTGTAAGTATTTACTCCAGGGCCTAGATTTTCGAAGTTGTCTTAGCGCTAAGATAGTCGTAAGTTAATGTTAATGTATGGCACTTACGACTATCTTAGCGCTAAGAGAGCTTCGAAAATCTAGGCCCTGGACCTTGACTTCCTGGACCCGTGAAGATCTTCAGCAACCCATGCTTGTCGTAAGACGCGGTTAATGGGATCCTGTGGTCAGGCTCGCTGACTTGGCCGACATCGTATCCCGATTGCGTGGATGGATGCTCATGTTGTTAATCACTGGATTGTCTGGTCCAGGCTCGATCATTTACAGACCGCCGCCACATAGCTGGAATTTTGCTGATTGCGGCGTTAAACAACAAACAAACAAAACTTCACTTCCTCGCATATCAAATGTGCTTTGCAGGTGTATTCATGTTAGACCGCGCCTAGTGGACTGAGTGTCTGCCCGGCGGACTGACGGTCGGTGGTTCGATCCCCAACCGTGTCATACCAAAAGAGGTTTTAGTTGTTTAGCTGCATGGGTCTCGCCTTTAATAAGACAAGAAGTCAGTTTGGAGTCGGGTACTGTCGCAGAGGGTATGCATGTTAATCTCTAACATGGTATCTCCAGTCGGCTAGCACAATAACACCAACATTAGTCCGAGGACAAGTAACCATGGACACGCGGGTATGCACGTCGTTGTATTCAATAAACAGGAGTTTGATGATAAAGGACCTGGGATCACTACCAAGTTGACTTGGGATCACACCCTCGATCAGCGTTTCAAGGCCCTCGTGAATGACTCCACCATTAAGGGGTATACAGCGAATTGTCCGTGTCCATGGATCGATGTGGCTAACTGACAAGCGATGCTAACTCTACAGAGCCAGTTATGTGTCCCCTAACACTGCTAATATTTGTAATAAGAAGAAACGAAACTGTTCTATATTTGCAGGCTATGTACAGAGCCAACAGAAACACTATAAGTGGCTACTTTCTAGCAGGACGATCCATGTGGTTTCTCCCGGTACGTATTTCAATCCTGGTAGGTATTTTCATCCATCCCGCTATATATGCCACAGCAATCCCCGTACGTATGTCACAGCAATCCCGGTACGTATGTCACAGCAATCCCCGTACGTATGCCACAACAATCCTCGTACGTATGTCACAGCAATCCGCGTACGTATGCCACAGCAATCCCCGTACGTATGCCCCTGCAATCCCGGTACGTATGTCACAGCAATCCCGTACGTATGCCACAGTAATCCCGGTACGTATGTCACAGCAATCCCGGTACGTATGTCACAGTAATTACGACAAGTATGTCACAGCAAATCCGGTACGTATACCACAGTAATTACGACACGTATGTCACAGCAATCCCCGTACGTATGTCACAGAAATCCCCGTACGTATGCCACAGCAATCCCCGTACGTATGCCACAGCAATCCCTTGTACGTATGTCACAGCAATCCCGGTACGTATGTCACAGTAATTACGACACGTATGTCACAGCAATCCCGGTACGTATGTCACAGTAATCACGACAATTTACACGTATGTCACAGCAATCCCGGTACGTATGTCACAGTAATTACGACATGTATGTCACAGCAATCCCGGTACGTATGTCACAGTAATTACGACACGTATGTCACAGCAATCCCGTATACGTATGTCACAGCAATCCCGTATGTTACGTATGTCACGGCAATCCTGGTACGTATGTCACAGCAATCCCGGTACGTATGTCACAGTAATTACGACACGTATGTCACATCAATCCCGGCACGTATGTCACAGCAATTTCATAAGTACGCCATAGCAGTTCATGATTATATAATCACCAACTCATAATCAACACATCTGGCCATCAGATATATCTGTCACCTCCCAAAATGCGTTATGGGCCTGAATTGTGAGAGTGATTTAAATTTTCTGTCGCGCCGGCATTTGTTTAAAACATATAGCGACGAATGTAGTTTATGGAGGATGTCTAGCACCATGATGAGAATATACACTTAACAGTGAAGATCATTCTTTATACTTCAATTGCGCAGATCGATGCTCATGCTGTTGATCACTGGATTGTCTGGTCCAGACTCGATTATTTACAGACCGCCGCCATAGAGCTGGAATATTGCTGAGTGCGGCGTAAAACTAAACTCACTCACTCACTCCTAAAACAAGGACTGGCCAGCATGGAATCACCATAAGAGCAATGATCATAAGTCATAAATTCCAGGGCCTAGATTTTCGAAGCTCTCTTAGCGCTAAGATAGTCGTAAGTGCCATTCATTAGCATTAACTTACAACTATCTTTGCGCTAAGGGAGCTTCGAAATTCTAGGCCCAGGTCTCCCACACCCCAGGGCTCCATTTCACAAAGCTATCGTAACTTCCATACTTTAGCATAGACTTACGACAGCCATAGCGCTGCGGTCGCTTTGTGAAATGGAGCCCAGGGGTGTGGGAGACCTGGGACCCGTTTCACAAAGCTATCGTAGCACTACGACTGTCGTACCTCCTATACTGTAACATAGACTTGCGACAATCGTAGAGCTACGATAACTTTCTGAAACGGAGCCCTGGAATTCGTGATATTTAGTAGGCTGATATTTAATAGTCGGACTCGTTTCGACTTATTGAGGAATACAATACATTCTGTTTCAATTCCAGATCGGTGCGTCTCTGTTCGTGAGCAATATAGGAACGGAACATTTCATCGGGCTGGCTGGTTCTGGTGCTGCAAGTGGAATCAGTGTTGGAGCGTGGGAACTCAATGTGAGTGACGGCATCCTATTTCTGGGCAGCCTTAGCACTTAGAGTTGAACCTCGTTAGTCAGAAAACTCCGTAATCCAACGACAACGTTTGTATTGTAAACTTTTTAAGGGCCAATACTGGAACTACTGACGAGAGACAATTAACTCCGAATTTTTATGATCCTTGATATTGATACATCTTATCTGTGTCTCTGGTTAAAGCCTACCTCTAGAGTTTAGTCTGCATTTCATTTAAATTGTTTCGTCAAAGTTTATTTTAATCATTAAACGTTAATTACCACACAGTGAAATCTTGTTAACCCGGACACTGTTTATCCAGAAACCCTGGATTCGAAATCGAAATCTTCCTTTCAGCTACCAGAACATTCATCCATCAGTCCCTTCTCACATCTATAAGCCTTATTCACTTAAAATATATTCCTAAACCATTGTTTACCAAGATCATAATTTCTGGGGGAATATTTAGAAAATATTGTTTCCGGATATCTGTCAGCTACCAGAACATTCATCCATCATTCCTTTCTCACCGCTATCAGCCTTATTCAGTATATTATTATCCATATGGTGTAACATAACCAGTGTCATATATAGAGAATACTACACGAGGTCTCATTACATACGAATTATACGAAACGAGTGTCCTTCCTATGGTATCTGACCGAGCGAAGGTCACGAGTTTCGTATAATTGGTACGTAATGAGACCGAGTGTGGTATTTTATGTATTACCCACGTCTTACATGCATTAAATTGACAAATAGCGTATTTGTGTTATTTTTATGGTTTCAAAACCGAAACCGGTTTCATAAAGAGGTTGCGGAAGAGTTTTGTACTGTAGTACAATATTTGCATGACGTCACACTGTAATGACGTCACTGCCTTGGTAACCGACGTCACGATGCATGTCAGTTGTCATCGCCTCGTACAACCTCCTACAGTAAACTACTCCGTAGCACCCCGTTTCTTGGTTTGCAGTTGCTTCATGCGGTTAACATCACTGGTGGAAACATTGCGTTTATGTTTTTCGACGGATATAATTATAATGTCTCAGTTCGACTCACAATTAAACAGCGACACGGCAAACGTTCGCAATGTTTACATTCCCACAATGCATTGATGTTGTAGAATGAATGAATTCACGTGTTTGTTATGAATGAAAAAATAGCTACGTCAGATTGTGACCTAATTGAGAGGTCGTCGGTTATCCAATCAAATCGTTAGAATCTCAGGTCAAGTCGTTACGACACAGGTCAACGCGATACGGCACTCGTGTGACGTACGAGATTAGTATGCAACTACCCATACGTTGACCACGTGGGTAATAAATATCATGTGTGCAATGTGCACATATCACCTTTGCCTAGTAACCATTGTTTCTGTATTTCGTCTGTGACGTCATTACATAGAACGTGACGTCAATGAAGTAGGCCGTCACACTATGTACGCCTTATTATTGCATGTTCATGTTTATGACACACTGTGTTGTTATCACCCAGGCCCTGCTGATCCTGCAGATGACGGGATGGATATTTATACCTGTTTATATCGCCTGCGGGGTAAGTACCTGTCTTGTGCAAATCATTTGTACCCCGACAAACGTGTCCTGGCCTACTTTAGCGACATCATAACGATGTCATTTTGAAGGAGCTATAACAAAACTCTATAGCGAATCTCAGCTTTGTGTCATTTGAAATCTGATGTATCAACACGAGTCGATAAAACTGTCATGGAGGAGTGTTCAAAAGACACGAGAGTGAGATTCCACTTATTATCCAATTGTATTGTAGAGATATTTCTCAAGAGACATCACATGATCTTAATATAAATATGAGTTCTAGATCTATTGCAGTAGTTTTCATGGGGGCTTGGCCACGTGACTCGCAACATTCAGTAGATTATAGGTAGGGTGTAGGAGGTAATATTCCATTAGGGATGTATGTCCCATTCAGTCCGACATTCACCTGGTAAACTGCGAAACAAGTTTTGAGGGCTTTGATACTCGCATTTTCATATACCTCAACATACAGATTGGGACTTCCCCCAGGGCGCTAGTGGCGCATTGCTTGCTCACATTGCTTACAATACAGTTTTGTTATTTTACATCTCTTTGTTATCCTGTAACATATGTCGATGATTACACAATCTTAGTAAAGTACAGATTCTTGTACTATTGTTGGGTTGAGTGCCATCAGGGATTCGAACCCAAACCCTCAGGCACCTAATCGCCAGCACACAAAGTCAGTCTTTGTTATCCTGAAGCCAATCTTTGAAATGGATCACCAGTACTGAAAACAAAAAAAAACAATGTAAAATATTTTGAATGCTTATTGGCTCTAAGGTACAGATGGATTGAATTATATGGATCCATGTGGAAAATATTGAGAAAAAAACACGTTTGTTTTATACTTGTTTGTTGTTTAACGCCGCACCCAGCAATATTCAAGCTATATGGCGCTGGTTTTTGTTGTTTAACGACGCACCAAGCAATATTCAAGCTATATGGCAGGTTTGTTTTATGCCAAATAGTTGCTGGACATATTCAAGATGTCCTGAAAATCAAATTTAGAAAAACACAATGGCACACCTAAAAACAGTTTTGTTTCCAACTGCTCGGCTGGCCTTCGTATGTAATAATAAAGGCTACATCAACCTCAGGGTTCTTAATATTTATTTTCCTATTTATGTAATGAAACTCCCAAACGTCGGCCTTCGGGATTATGGATTATCTCCCTAAACTCTGCGCTACTTCCTTGACAAAACCTCGGAACATGTTTGAATCAAACTCCCTCATAATAAGACCACACACTGGTATACTCTTCAAAAATAGAAACGCATATGCTAACTTTGAAGTGCAGACACTAAACGTGCATATTGGATTTAATTTTGACTGGTACAATGGAGAAATGTTAGCATGATGATAGCGGCGTGTTCTGAAGACATACTGGCAATACTGATCGTCGTGGGTTAAAGCGTTCGCTCGTCACGCCTAAGACCCGGGTTCGATTCCCCACATGGGTACAATGTGATAAACCCATTTCTGGTGTCCTCCGCCGTGATATTGCTGAAATATCGCTAAAAGCGGCGTAAAACCATACTCACTCACTCACTGATCGTTTGGTCACAGGTAGCGAGACACGACAAAACCCTTTCCACATCAGAAATCCCTGCTAAAAGCAGAGTAGATCGTACAGTTCTGACTATATCGTGAGTATGAGTTTGTTTGTGTACTGCTGGAATATTGCTAAAAGCGGCGTAAAACCAAACTCAGTCAGTCAGTATTACAGCTGTACGATGTGGTCTGTAAACAATCGAGTCTGGACCAGTCAATCCAGTGATTGACGCTATGAGATACAATGACAGAGCATGGGTCTATGAATCACTATAAAATTGTGATGATACTAGGTGTTCGCGAATCGTCCACCAGGGTTTGGAAGCGATGGACCACCGTCTGCTGTTATCTCTGCTCGACGCCTCTTCAGCACTATGTCTATTGATTCTGTCCCGTGGAAGTGTTTGTGGTGTATGTTGATGTACACGTCCATCGAGTTTATCCCACAGACGCTCTACCGGGTTGAGATCCGGGGACCTGTCCATGGCAAGACATTGACGTTTGAGTTATGAAGTCAACAGTGACACGAGCTAAGTGTTTTGTATCGTTGTCACGTTGAAACAACTCCCTCTGTCGGTTGACAGTCGAAAGAAACTGACGCATTTGTTATATGTACAGATCTGTTGTCCGATTTCACACCACCATGACAGATCTCCGTGTGTAGGATATGGCTACTCACACCGTCACACTTCCGGGACCGAAGCTGTCGACCTGTCGAACTCGGCTTGGTGCAAAAATGTTCATTTAACATAGACAGACAATCTGTGTTTCGTCTCGGCGTTGGACTGAACCAAACCAATTTCTCAGAGTGCATGCCTGCATGGTGTTGCTCCGCCTTGGATACAACGAATGAATATCGGTCTTCTTGGTCTAATTCTCACCTCTCGCAGGCGATTTCTAATTCCAGTACCCTCCTACCGAATAATTTCCTCTTCCAATAGGTCGACAATTGTTTGACAAAATGTTGACTGACGTTTGACCTTTACCATGCTCACTGCAAATAACTGTCACAACTTGCACCTGCTTTCTTCTTTCAATTTTCTTTCCATGGCATCTTCATGATGCGGTACACTGTATACTCATTAGTGTAAAGCTTCAAAAGTTTGAAATGGCTGTTTTTGTGCACGACACCAGTTTACGAACATGCGACTAACATCGATAGATAAAACACACTGCACTGTAATTGCATTGATAAGCAAACTCAACATTTTATTATATCCTATGCGTTTCTTTTTTTAAGAGTATACCCCGAAAGCGATCATCCATAATTCCTTGAAGGCTCTGTGTTATTGTCTTAACTAACATTTCTAGGATTTTCAGCCGCTATCGGATCACAGCGGAGCCATCCTAGAAGTGATTTGGAAGTTACACTCAAACATGAATGTCAAGGCTTGTTTTGAGGAGTAAGAATAGCTTTTTTAGTGTATTTCATCTTTTCTGCATTCGTCATTTCTAGAATTTGACGATTGCAATAAACTGTCAGCAATTTCCTTGTGAAGGATCTTGAAATAATTGCTGTGCATTGTAACACTGATCAATGTCAGTGAAACCTCGTTAATCAGGACTGTACATTTGGACGTCAGGATTAACAGGGCCTATTTTGTTTACGGGTACCTGGCAATACACGTCGATTCCTGTGTTTGGTGTGAGTGAGTGAGTGAGTTAGTTGTAGTATTTAGTTATTTACTGTATGTAAGGTTCATGTCGTAGAGTTGAGTGAGTTTAGTTTTACGCAGCCTTTAGCAATATTCCAGTAATATCACGGCGGGGGACACCAGAAATGGGCTTCACACATTGTACCCATGTGGGGAATCGAACCCGAGTCTTCAGCTTGACGAGCGAACGCCTTAACCACTAGGCTACCCCAACGCCATCCGAAACGATGAGATGTAATGAGAATAAAGCCGATGACTTCTTATAATTGATGGTGACAAACCATTTCCGGAAATTAGTTTAGGATGCAATAGTAAGCAGATCCTTGCAGGCCAAAAGGATTCAACTCCGCTCAAACTCGCTCGACAAGTGACCGTTCGTTCATCCGAATGTTAATTGATAACATAATTATTTATTTAAATTTCAGTGGTGTCAGAATGGTTTAGTAACACTGCCATTGCCTTACGGAGTAGCATTATATCCTTAGTTCGAAGCACTGCTTCCAGCAGATTACATTTGAAGTGTCATCAAAATGGTTTCATGTCATGAAACCTTCCGCACATTGATTTGAAATCAACAGAAACGGTATGTGTTCGGTCTGTTTCCTCAGAAAATGCACTGATTCATATGGTCATGTTATGGCGATTGTCAGCAATTATAGGCACTTGCTTCGAAAGCGTGAACGCCGTTAAACACGAGTGTTCGATCTGTTCTTCAAATCTAAATAAACATCTTATGTATGATATCCATGTACTAACAAGTTATTGTGAACCCGTAACACGCACGAACTTAATGCTTCGAGATCTGGAATTAAACGGAGTACAACGAATAAAAGCAACCCAAAAACAACCAAACTTTTGGTGTTCCACAGCTGTCCGGGGTGTTAAGTACGTCGCGGAAAACAACTTGTGGACCCACTGACATTGTATTATAACTTAATCATCTGACACATGTTGCCGCTACTATTAAAGCCGCCATATACAGACCGGGCTTCACATATAACTGTACTGGTCCATCACTCCAGGGGAATTGTTATAATGGAATGTAGCTATTATGTGAGTGAGTGAGTTTGCTTTTACGTCGCTTTTAGCAATATTCCAGCAATACCACGGCGGGGGACACCAGAAACGGGCTTCATACATTGTACCCATGAGGGGAATGGAACCCGGCTCTTCGGCGTGGCGAGCGAACGCTTTAACCACTTGGCTACCCCACCGTCCCAGCTATAATATCAACTGCCGGGAAAAAAGCATACGTCCTTGTTTGTTATAACCGGGGAAGAAATCTGCAGAAAGTAATTGAGCATCAGTACTAATAACGTCTGGGTTTGACTCTAGAACGTGAAAATTTGTCCATTTCGTACTGTATTCCAGAGCTTAAATTAACTTGCCTTTGCATGTGTTTGTGACGATTGGGGCATGATACGCTGGCCTTTCCGTGAATACCTCATGTCGTCACTAAGTGATAATGCTTCATAAACACATGATTATGATATTGTCGAAATCGCGCAGAGAACTGGTAATGGAATTTCTATTCATTTTATGTATGTAATCCAATATATACTTGATGCGATGCCTAGAGTGGCGCTCGGTTGAGTACAGTAGCTATTGAGCATGTGTATTGAATGGATGGAGACATGGCTGGTGACTGAAAACATGTATGAAGATCTTCGCCGATGGGTTATGATGATCATGGCAATGTCACCATACTGATCACTCATTCATCCCAGATCCTCCGTCAGTTCTTGCCTCAAGTATGTGCATGAGGATCCACCTCTTTAAGGAATACCTACTGGAGGTGCTTGAATTTATCACCATCAGCAAATCTCTTCAGAAACTCATATGTGACATACGTTTTATTTGGGGATTGCACTTTCTTAGTAAAAGTACAGATTCTAGTACTTTTTGGGTTGAGTCCCATCCGGGATTCGAACCCACACCCTCAGAGTCAGCACCTAATCGCCAGCACACAAAGTCAGAGGCCTAGACCGCTCAGCCACCGCGGCTTCCACGGTCTGACTTTGTGTGATGTACTTTACTAAGAAAGTGCAATCCCAAATACAACGTATGTTACATTTGACCACTTTCTAAAATGGCATTGTGTATCTCATATGTGACATTACTAAGAGGCAACGAACTACGATATCATGGGTCGCTTGTCAAACAACACTGTTTCTTATTCATGTAAATGCAAATTAAGAAATAATATTTTATGTCCAATATTTTTTGTACATTGTTTCATACATATCCCAATATCCCAGAATATCACATGATCAGTGTCAGAGACACATCATAATAATAAATCTCCGATGTTTACAAATGTTTATTTCACTGACAGACCTGCACCATGCCGGAGTACCTTGCCAAGAGATTTGGTGGAAATCGACTGCGGGTCTACTACGCTGTCTTGAGTCTCATTCTCTATATTTTCACCAAGTGCTCGGTAAGTTCCGCTTCGTGGTCTTTCATTGTGCATGTTTTGTAGACCTCAATACAGCTTTAAGAAATATTTTATTGCACACTTGTGAAGCGCATGTCCAAATCTGGCGCATCAGTGACAAAAATGATATCCGATGTCCCTAATTTGACGAACCGTCGGTACCCGTGTTTTTGTAGGTAAACAATTGACTAGCCTTTGCATGTGTTTATGATGGGTACCAGCTGTGGGTGCAGAATACGCTCACCGCTCACACCTTATCAATATTAGGTAGTGATTCATATTTTCAAAGGACAGATATACTTTTCACCTTCAATATGCGTCTTTACACATTTTCACAATACATATGCAATCCGTCTTCGTAGAAAATATGTTCCTATCGTTCAGTTTCAATACGTCAATTATGACTTCCACAACGGAATGTATCTTAATATTATTATCATTTACAGTGAAATGAGGTATTAATATTTATTTATTTATTTAGAGCTCTCCATATCCTTATCGTCATCTAAATGATTCGTTTCCCATTTCACATAACACAGTTCACCTTAATAAAAATAAAATTTAAATTGTAATAAAATAATTAGTTCACAAAGTCGCACTACTTCTTTCTGTCTAGGGGGATCTTTACACGGGTGCGTTGTTCGTTCAACAAGCGCTCAACTGGGATCTCTACGTCAGCATCGTGCTGCTGATTGTTGTTACTGCCGTCCTTACCTTTACAGGTGAGCGTTCTCTAGCAATGTATGATAAAGTCTTCGATGTGCATTTCAAAGTTGGAAGAACATGAATATACATGGGCGGATCCATGGTCCCCCAGCCCCACCCTCTCTCTCTTTCTCTCTCCCCCGAAAACAATTTCCCTGAGGAGCACTTCTCCCTAACCTTTGGACTTCATGACTCATGTGCAATAACGTCTTTGGATTTATTGGGTTCTTGAGTTATTTTCTAAATATTTGTAGTGATATTTTGCAAGAATGAGAATTTGCAGTAATTCATTGGCAGTTGTATCTCCTTTTGTATATATAACTTATATATACACTGGAACTCCTGACAAATATTACCGTAAAACTCTTATACCAGTTTATATTCATATGAAGGAAATACATACTACATAAAAATGCATTTTTTGTCCGGAAATACCGTCTCCTGAAAATTACGAACGCTGTAAAATACACACGCGATTGTGTTCCACTTAACAGTCAGCTCCGACGCGTTGCGATGTCAGCTTTGCAATTCCAATACCAAGCTACCGGCAGAGCTACAGATAACTTTTTGGGTCATTGAGTTATGTACCCGCTTGTCTTCATCTCAATTGGGTATCCTAATTTTCCTTTGAGTAACCAAACAAATTGTACTCACCTCACTCAAAATCAATTGGGTATTTTGCCATTTTCCATTAATTGTAAAAATATAATAAAGTTTAAATGTTAGTGTTTGTTATTTATATTTGATCTGTAATATGAGAAACGATATGAAAGACTGCTAGTTGAGTGTTCATGTGCCGAAACAGAACCTCTAAATATACCTCAGTTGCTTTATCTATCCACTGGTGCGCAAGCTAAGATTTGACAGTTTTCTGTGTACGCATGTACGATCAAATTTATTGAGCATTTACAAAAATCAAGCGTACTTGTACGCAACAGACGTAATAGGAATTGAGTTTTCACATAAATATTTGCGTAATTTACGCAGATACGCAGCTTATCTGTACCTCTACTACCGACTCCAAATGGGTTGGTATCGTGTTGTAACTGTGATGATTAACTATAAGAACAATATTGATTTCATTATATGCACATGCATATGGTAACTGTAATACTGTTACTATTTAAAAAAAACGATTTCGCCACCTGCGCTAGGGTAAAGACTCACCTTACGCCAAAAGGTTCGTTCATTCATGAGTGGGTGGGTGAGATTTGGTAACAATAGTGGCAAAGTGCAGTATCCCGGAAAACAATCAACATACAAAAATATCCGGCGTTAAACTTTTCGAGTTAGGATGAGTAGGAAACTAATTAAGACCTACAGTGAATGAGTTTAGTTTTACGCCGCTTTTAGCAATATTCCAGCAATATCACGGCGGGGGGACACCAGAAATAGGTTTCACACATTGTACCCATGTGGGGAATCGAACCGGGACCTTCGGGGTGATGAGCGAACGGTTAAACCACTAGGCTATCCCATCGCCCAGACTGTACAACTTATCTGGTCTGGTAGACAACGCTCTGACTGTTCTCTGATCTTTGTTTTGGGGTGGTGGGAAGATATTTCACTTTTGAAGAGATTGATGACGTTTTGTTTTATTCACATCAGTAGGTATAGTCATTTTACACAAAATTCGTACACAGTGACAGGTGACAGTTCCAGTTACAATCCTTTTATACAAAAAATCATACAATCAAGGTTGTATAATTGCGGATCGTCTAAGCTTGAGCAATTAGGTAAGTCGGTGCTATGGGTAATATTACTTGTTTGCTCCTGGGTTTATTTGGTTTGTTTTCATAATAGCACCATATCATTCTGGGTAACCGAGAGGTAGAAACATTCATACATTATTATACAGAAGTCATGCCTAATACAAGCTTGTACATGTTGACAGATCACAACACATTAGTCTTTAAAAAACATGAGTAGGTACATTCAAGTATTACTGCACAAAGATCATAGATTGTATACATTGAAGAGTCATAACACATCAGACCATGTTGTGCAATGGGTGCCCCTTTACTCCTCATTCGTCTGGCTGGTTTTTCATTCTGGCAACATATCTTTCAAAGAAGCGATGGAGGATTTTAAGGGCAAAATTAAATTTCTAATACAGCTTATGGATATAAATATGTATATCTTTTCCCGTCCGTGAATCGGCACATATTATAATTCACTATCTCAAAGTTCTACCTTAAGCATGTTGAAGAGTCATGACACATCAGTCCATATTGTAAGTAGTGGTAGCCATATGCTCATACATTCATTTATTTGGTTTTTCATTTTGGCAACATATCTCGCAACTTGAAAAATATCTTTCAAGGTAGCAATAAAGGATTTGAAAGAAAGAGATTCATTTCTAATACAACTTGTATATATATATATATATCTTTTTCTGGCCAAAAGAATGTGGTTCACCAGTTTGAAGTTTGAGGTCCCCAGGATACCAAAGAGGATGGATTTAAGATTAAGCTGAATCTCATAACACAGATGTTGTCTCAAAAATTGTTCCAGATTGTACCAAAAATGACTAACCTGTGGACATTCAAAATATACATGCACAATCGATTCGTTTTCATTGTTACATCTTTGACAAATACTATTGTCGATCAACTTCATTTTAAATAATTCCTTTTTGGTGTATATAATGCGATGCTAAAATCTATATTGGAAATCTTGTTGCTTGATATCTCTACAGCATTGTTTAGGAAGACTAAATATTTCCTTCCAGTTTAAGTCAGTTAAGAACATTTGTTGCCATTTACTACAGATAATAGGGAGATAATTATTTTGCACAAGTATATCATATATCTTCCGAGATCCCTTTGATGGTTTAGTCCATTCCATAAGAAAGTTATTAATCCTAAGATTGTAGACACATATAGGTTTAGAATTGTCTATCACCCTTATCCATTCTTTAGGGAGGTTACTAACAACTCGATGATGGTCCAAATAAGTACCCTTGAGGTTGATTTTTTTTTCAAGTCTACAAAGGATAAGAGCCCATTCTCGTCTCTTATATATAGCACTCCTTTACAGAACCAGTTTTCTATAATATAATTTGAGTCTGTACACTGGTGATACATGTGCTAATAATCTTGTACAGACAATTTAAAAGGGTGATTGGTCGCCAGTTTTTAAGATAGGACCTATCCTTGTTTCCTTTAAGCAGGCATGTTATAATTCCTCTGTTAATGTTCAAACTCAAACAGCCCTTATAAAATGATTCACTGATAAATCTGTGCACCCAACCTTTAGTTCTTTCCAAAAAAACTTAAGAAATTCTATTGGAAAGCCGTCTACCCCGGGGCTTTTGTTATTTTTCATTCCTTTTACTGCTTTTGAAATCTCATCCAATGTAATTTCATTTTCCAAATTGTCTCTTTGTTGTTTATCTAAAGAAGGAACTGGAACTTTTGAGAGGAAAGCCTGAATTTCCTTTTTCTGAAGCTCTATCACTTTGGGAGTACAGATTTTAATAAAACTGTTTTTGTTCTTCTAGGATTTTTTTACCATCTAATATTATTTCTCCTTTATCATCTATTAATTGATTAATCAACTTGCTTGTGTAATTTCGGTTTTCCAAATGACAGAAGTATTTTGTAGGCTTTTCACCTTCCTCATACCATTTTATTCTGTTCCTTATTTGAATCCCTTTAGTTACTTCTCCCCTTAACTTTTCAATTTCTTCTTGAAGTTCTGTAAGTTGATTTAGTGTTTCTTCCTTTATGTTTTGAAAGTTTCCCCTGATTTCATTTTCAACTTCGCATATTCTATCTTCCAACTGTTCAATTTTATGGGACCGGTTTTTCTTCAGAAATGAGGACATAGATATGGATTCACCTCTAACTTTCATAAGAAATGTTTCCAAAAACAAAGTGTCACTAATGGTTAATTCAAGGTTCTTGTCATTAATATCTTGTATTTCTTGATATACGTTTCTATTGAAATATTCTTGTTTCATATCTTTCAAAATTGTATTGACTTTTTCAACATAATCTTTATTGTGTAATAAAGAGGCATTAAATTTCCAATAACCCTTACCTTTTTCTTTAGACAAAGTATTTGATATTGATGTTATAACTGAATGGTCTGATTTGTATCCTGGGAGAAAATTGCATTCTATTGTAAGATTTGCCATGTCTTGTGATAGTAAAAAGAATTAATATGATGCCACTTTTTCCAAAATTTGTTTTATTGACAAAGTGCAATGTTTCCAGCGAAGGTTTGCTGTTAGAATGTAAATGTTTATTTCTCTGTTATTTTGCACCATACAAAGTAGAATTTGGATGACACCTGTTTTTCGTTAAGGAAACACCACAAATCAAATTTACAACGAAGATTGTTTGATACACAATTCCTTAATGCAATTTCAGTGAAAGTAACTTCCAACTTCCATTGGCATTGTAGACTTATATTGAAGAACAGGATGTCACTGCTCCCAGGTTTTTGTTGCATAAGTAACAATGTGTTCAGCGAATATCATCTACTTTCACATACAACTGCATAATGCTTCTTTAACTTATGTGGGCAGGGGGAATCCAGGTTGACCAACATCGCCTCCAGGCTTCTTTGTTTTTATACATTTTGTTTTTTGTTCTTATACTTTTGTTTATTAACTAGAAATTCCACATTTGTAGGTACTTCATGCTATGCGTTAATCACTTCCAAAAATAACCATGTTGCCATAGACATATCAAAACTTATAAATATCTTTGACTTTGTCAAACATGACTATGGATAATAAAATTAAAATAGTGTCGGCAAACTGCAGGGGTCTCGGGGAGAAACATAAGCGTGGAGAAATAATGAACTTTTGAGAAAAAATTGTTGCTCAATATTATTTGTTTACAAGATATTCACGTTGCTGAAAAAGATGAACTACTAATGAGAAACGAATGGGGATTAGAGTGCATTATCGCCCCCTATAGATCTAATGCAAGAGGGGTTGCCATTCTTTTTAATAACAATATTGAAGTTAAAATACATAGAACAATAAAAGATCCTAATGGCAACTTTATTATTTCAGGTATCTCAATTGATGGTATAAAATTTACCCTCTCAAATATGTACGGCCCAAACAATGATGACCCAACTTTTTATGAGAATATTTTTAGAAATATTGATAGCCTCGAAAATGATTCTTTGGTTTTATGTGGAGACTGGAACTTCGTACTTGACCCTTCAATAGATCTAGAGAATTATCGGCATGTTAACAATCCTAAAGCCAGGCAAGTGGTCTGTTATATGATAGAAAATTACGATTTGTTGGATATTTGGAGACAATATAACCAAGGCTCTAAATGTTTTACATGGTGGAAAAAAATCCTAGACAGCAGGAAGAGATTGATGTTGTACAAACCGTTCCCATATCCGGTTAGAGGTGCACCCGTGTTGCGTCCTAAAAAGCAAATGTAAAGATTCTTAGAGACGTTAACGTTTATATTGTTTGGCCACAGGGGATTGTAACACAACATATAGCAGATGCAATATCTAAAACAGCCAATATCAGTTGTTGTGTCTAAAATGAAAAGCCTGTAACTTTGTCAACTCACCAAATTCGTTTGTGGGTTGACAGGGACGCAATCAAGTTCATGGTAAACAGTATACGAAGGGAGGTAATTTGTGGCTTTTCGCGTGCAACCCGCGAATAAATATATGGATCAAACGGTGTTATTGTAACGTTTCAGGAGGTCTGACGGCGGTTATCTATACTGATACATTGCAGGCAACGTTGATGGTGGGAGGAGCCCTCTACCTGATGGGAGCGGGTAAGTGCTGGGGGTGCGTGCCGGTGCTGGTGTGTGTGTGTGTGTGTGTGCGTGCGTGCGTGCGTGCGTGCGTGTGTGTGTGTGTGTTGGATACAGAGCGATACTAATTAAGGGACCGTTCATAATTTATGGCAATGACACCCCCCTAGTACATGTGTACAAGATTGCTGACCCCCACCCCCTAGAACAATATGGGTCACCCACCTAATATCATCATTTCCACCCACCCCACCCAAGCCATAAAATATGAACGGTCCCTTACTGATTCAAGACACAAACAGTAATCATTGTTCTAGATTAAAGCTGATTTATACATGCTTAGTCCTAACTTGAAGGAAAGTCACAGTACCAGGAGAATGTGTACATGTACTTAACAAGCCATTTGAATGTCCACCCATTATATTTTCAGCTAAACGGAACAGCAGTCAGTTAGTAGGCACGGCGTGATGTTTATGGAAACATAAAGCACGACAAATTGCCCATCAAATGCCAAAGAATCGTTTTATTTGTATCGTATCCGCTGAAACTTATGCAAAGTATTAACGCATTTTATGTATGAATTATCTGAGTCATCTGGGAAAGGGACAGAAAGTGATTCAAATGGTAGGATACGAAGTGTCAAATCCTTTCAATTTATTGGCAAATCTTAACAATCAGTAATAGTATTATTAATCATTTTTTATGGCCTCGTTGAATAAGTTTCTTGAATATTTTTAAACATATTCTCGGTATATTTTCCTATTCTCTACAGAAGACATATAGTATTCCCAAAAGTTATTGAGAAAGTTGTTTCGGCAAATATCTAATACATGTACATTTGTATATAAACTATAGAAGTTTTACTAATGAATGTGTTGAGATATGATTCTCTTACAATCTAAATGTCTTTTCAGTACTTTGTGAGACCTCCTTGCCAATACACGACTAAATGCGCCTAGGTACACTATATACCGATCAAAGTTTGAAGGAAATCGTGTGACAGCGTATCCCAATATTCGACCACTTCTTTCTTAGATCCTCAATGTTTCTAAGTCCTTCTATTATCATTTCTGATATTCTCAACGCTTTTCAATTTTCCCCTACTCACAATCTGACCAAGTCGCCGGCGATCCGTAGTACTGAATTACCTTGGCCTCCCTGACCCTGTCTTGTGCTCAATCCCAACTCCTGACTGAATATTCTTCAAATTTCTGTATACTGTAGACAGAGGAATGTCATGTCTACCAGCTAACTCTTTTGCATTTGTCACAACCCTTTCAAAATCATCTAGAACCAGCTTTCTTTTCCCTTCTGCTGTCAAATCTGCCATGTCAACAAAGGAAGCCATCTGCTGAACCAGGGGAGATAACTATTGGTGTAGTAACGTTCATTCTCAAGCCTACAAGAGTTGCCTCCCATATTGAGTACCTTGCTACATAATGTAACACCTGTTTTAATATTCTATTATCAGCATTAGGAAACATCTCAATAATTTCTAGGAATACTGTATATGAGAGTAAATTCCAAGTGACAAGAGAAACATTCGTGGTTTTTTCAGGAGCATTCTTTTAGTAAACCTAGTATTTGTTAATAGAAAAAGAACGCTAGTTTTACAAATTGAACTTCATGTACAATGCAGGTAGAAAGCATGGTGTATGCTCTTCAAAAATGATATACCTTGACGAACGCATAATCTTTCAGACCACGAGCCAGTATTGCTCGAGATAACGTTCAACTAGAAGTATACCGTATGTGGGATTTAAAAAAACATATTTCCGAAAGCCGTTTGGTTACATTTTGGAAACTTTAAACCCTCATTTAGCTATCATATGAACTTGTCTCGTGCATGTCTTTCGTCAGGGTTCTATGAAATCGGTGGGTTCTCGGGGCTTCTGGAGAAGTATCCCCAGGCTGTTCCAACCAACGTGAGTGCCATTGTGCCTGGTACCACCTGTCATCATCCAGACAAACAGGCGTTCCGCATGTTGCGTGGGGCAACAGATGACTATATGCCATGGCTCGGCTTCCTTATTGGACAGACACCAGGTTCCATCTGGTACTGGTGTACCGACCAGGTAACTTAGAGGATGGCAGTTCAGACATATACAATATTTCACAGTGTTTTAAAAGGACATGAATTCAGGACGGTTAATGAAAACAGCTGCTTTCTTTCCCGAACGACAACTTCTCGTCGCTCGGGAGGGCATGGGTTGGGGGAAGTCGACTGCCGCGACGTAATTGCGTCGCTGGGGACGCTAGAGACCTGTGTTCGTCGGTTGAAATCGTTTCGACCCGATTATGTTTTTATGGAACAACTGCGTCAGTTAAACCACACTCAGCAATATTCAAGCTATATGGCGACGGTCTGTAAATAATCGAGTCTATACCAGACAATCCAGTGATCAACAGCAAGGGCATCGATCTATGCAATTGGGAAACGATGACATGTGTCAACCAAGTCAGCGAGCCTGTCCACCCGATCCCGTTAGTCGCCTCTTACGACAGGCATCCATGGGTTACTGAAGGTTCATTCTAACCCGGATCTTCACGGTTTAACCAACGTGTTAACGTCTGAGACCTGCCTCACATCAATGTTACTATGAATCAACTTAAGTCGCAGGCTCACCTCCTGGTGGTGCCTTCCACCAGTTCCTTCAGGTTTCAAGTTCCAGCTTTGTGAGATTAATTACATCCCCTGGAACTCGAAGACTTTCGTTTCTGGTAGGCCTTTTCCTCCCACATTAGTGAGTGAGTGAGTTTAGTTTTACGCAGCACTCAGCAATATTCCAGCTATATGGCGGCGGTTCCTCCCACATTAAGATGGTACACCTTGATATATATGAGAGACAATGGGTTTTTTTATGCATTACTTCTGTTACAAGTGACACGTTGACTCGTGAAACATATTTTATATTTTGGAGGAATATTTGGGGCTTAGAAATGCATCGCTTCTGTTACAAGTGACACTGAAACATATTTTATATTTTGGAGGAATATTTGGGGCTTAGGGATGCAAATGATAAGCATGAACGACGTCAATTGACATTATTGCATGACTGTTGCCTAGGTCATCGTTCAGCGCGCCCTGGCGGCCAAAAGCATATCGCATGCTCAGGGGGCCACATTGATGGCGGGCGTCATCAAGGTACTTCCTCTCTTCTTCATGGTGATGCCGGGGATGATCAGCAGGGTTTTGTATCCAGGTGAGCTAACTTAATGCACATTGATTCCCCTGTTCACTTAGCAGAGTTAACCATCGAATACACAACGCCTTTAAGAAAGTGGTCAACTGAGTGAATGAGTGAGTGAGTATGGTTTTATGCCGCTTTAGCAATATTCCAGCAATATCACTGCGGAGGACACCAGAGGCGGGCTTAACACATTATATGCATGTGGAGAATCGAACTCTACCATACTCACTCACTCACTTAGATCGATTCCCTACTGAACACATATTAAAGACTGAAGACAAGGTGGGATTTATGGATGACCTGTTACAACATGGGATATTGACCAGGTAATTTTGTATTTATTCTGTTCTTAATATGGTGGTAGGGTGTCTGTAAGTTGTTCTGCGTTCAATGAAATACCCCTACTGCTATTGGTTGATACAGCCTTTGAAATGTTATCTGTATATGTAGATGATGTTGCTTGCACCAACCCAGACTACTGTATGTCGGTGTGTCAGAGCAGAGCAGGCTGTTCCAACATCGCTTACCCAAGACTGGTCCTGGGGCTTATGCCTAATGGTAAGTTTTACAGTGTTCTAATAGTGTCATGAGAGAGGGGTAAAACTACGTTTATTCAATAAAGATGTTAATGTTGGTTTTCTGATACTTGGTTAAACGTAGTAATTGAATAGGTTTAGAACTGACGTGAGAAGCTGAATGTTCGATAGCATTTACAAATTCGAAAACAAATCAACGTGGTATGCAAAACGTCATCGTCACTACGTGACGTGCTACGTGACACTGCCTGTCTGTACGTGAGGATGTCTCTCCTATTGTCTCCACACAGGTGTCCGAGGACTGATGACGTCTATTTTGTCAGTCTATGCATGACTTTTATCATCTTGTCTCCACACAGGTGTCCGAGGACTGATGACGTCTACCTTGTCAATCTATGCATGACTTTTATCATCTTGTCTCCACACAGGTGCCCGAGGACTAATGACGTCTATCTTGTCAGTCCATGTATGACTTTTATCATCTCGTCTCCACACAGGTGTCCAGGGTCTTTGACGTCTATTTTTCAAAGTCTATGCATGACTTTTATCATCTTGTCTCCACACAGGTGCCCGGTGGCTGATGGCATCTATCTTGTCAGTCTATGCATGACTTTTATCATCTTGTGTCTCCACACAGGTGCCCTGATGGCCTGTCAGATGACGTATCATCTTGTCAGTCTATGCATGACTTTATCATCTTGTCTCCACACAGGTGCCCGGGGGCTGATGACGTCTATCTTGTCAGTCTATGCATGACTTTTATCATCTTGTCTCCACACAGGTGCCCGAGGGCTGATGACGTCTATCTTGTCAGTCTATGCATGACTTTTATCATCTTGTCTCCACACAGGTGCCCGAGGGCTGATGACGTCTATCTTGTCAGTCTATGCATGACTTTTATCATCTTGTCTCCACACAGGTGCCCGGGGGCTGATGACATCATCTTGTCTCCCTTATCTTGTCAGTCTATGCATGACTTTTATCATCTTGTCTCCACACAGGTGCCCGAGGCCTGATGACGTCTATCTTGTCAGTCTATGCATGACTTTTATCATCTTGTCTCCACACAGGTGCCCGGGGGCTGATGACATCTATCTTGTCAGTCTATGCATGACTTTTATCATCTTGTCTCCACACAGGTGCGGGGGTGACGTCTACCTTGTCAATCTATGCATGACTTTTATCATCATCTTGTCCATCTTGTCAGTCATGCATGACTTTATCACAGGTGTCCGAGGCCTGATGACGTCTATCTTGTCAGTCTATGCATGACTTTTATCATCTTGTCTCCACACAGGTGTAAAGGTGACGTCTACCTTGTCAATCTATGCATGACTTTTATCATCTTGTCTCCACACAGGTGTCCGAGGCCTGATGACGTCTATCTTGTCAGTCTATGCATGACTTTTATCATCTTGTCTCCACACAGGTGCCCGGGGCTGATGACGTCTATCTTGTCAGTCTATGCATGACTTTTATCATCTTGTCTCCACACAGGTGCCCGGGGGCTGATGATGGCTGTGATAGTAGCAGCCCTCATGAGTGACCTCGACTCAATCTTCAACAGCGCAAGTACGTTGTTCACCATTGATATATGGAAGCGGATCAGAAAGGCGGCCTCGGTTACAGAACAGATGATTGTTGGCAGGTGCTTGTCCATTTAATATTTTGGATACGATATGTACTTGGCGCTCCCTTTAGGATCAAAACTGAACAATATGGTGACATGTTTGTTGTAAATTTGGTTTTGTGTCAGGTAAAAATATTAACCCAATGCATTCTATATTAACGTAAGTAGGGGATCTGTTGATTCAGATCCCTGACAATAATAGTCAATCTTCAGCCTCTGATTTGTCGGGAAAATGTTGTGCAATAATGTTTGAACGTGTCTACAAGAACACTCCACTTCTCCTTTAGTCTGTGTCACAGTCTCAGATCAGTATTTTCCCTTCCACTCAGCCCATTCTATAAGGCCATAGTCCGGATCCTACACAAAGCAAGCGTTGATTTCCGGGAAGTTCAGGAAGGGAGTCTCCCTTCTCACAGGGTCTTCTTTTCATTGTAAACACATTTTCAAAAACTAACTCAGCTACTCCCACTGATTTCCACGGATTATTCAACTATTTTAAAGCATGGACTGATTGAACCTACTGCGACGATCGATTATAGTTTCTTTCCAGTATACTTACATTGCGTTTCTTTGCTATCTATATGTTCAATTTTCTACAGTTTTGTAGGGGTGGTAGGGTAGCCTCATGGTTAAAGCGTTCGCTAGTCACGCCGAAAACCCGGGTTCGATTTCTTACATGGGTGCAATGTGTGAAGCCCATATCTGGTGTCCCCCGCCGTGATATTACTGGAATATTGCTAAAAGCGGCGTAAAACTAAACTCACTCACTCACAAACGTGGATATGTGTATCATGCCATGTGGCTCATCTGTTCATCTGAATATGACATTCCACTTTCTTGTGTCCTTCGCGTGATATTACTAGAATATTACTTAAAACGGTTTAAAACCACTCACTGTTGTTGTTGCAGGTTGTTCATCGTGGTGATGGTTGCTGTGTCCATAGCGTGGGTTCCTGTCATCAAGGAAACCCAGAGAGGTCAAGTGTTCATCTACATCAACGAGATAACCAACTACTTGGCACCACCCTTCGCCGCTGTGTTTCTACTGGCAGTGCTGGTACCCCGGGTCAACGAAAAGGTTCGGTGTTTCACGATTTAACTGTTGCCGTTTCAGAGTGAGTGAGTGAGTGAGTTGGGTTTTACGCCGCTTTTAGCAATATTCCAGCAATATCACCGCGGGGGACACCAGAAATGGGCTTCACATATTGTGTCCATCTGGGGAACCGAACCCGGGTCTTCGGCGTGACGAACGCTTTAACCACTAGGCTACCCCACCGCCCTATTTCAGAATGAGATGGGTGAGGTGCATTAACATTACAGTGCGACGTGCATGTATTCCTTTTACACTTGTCACTAAGTAGAGTTTATTACATTTTATTGGACATATTTTACCGGTATCCGAGGTTCTACAAAACCACAAAATCATGACGAGATAATTAACGCTTTAGGACCGGACTTGTGTTTGACACAACGATGTTTGTCTGTATTCACTAGTTGATTTACATATCAAAACCAACAATTTGACACCCGTGTGTGCTTCACGAACAGTTTTCAATTGTCGCGAACCCGTAGAAAGTTCAGAATTAAGAAATATAAAGGGACCTATAAATATAAAGATTATCAAATCTTACACCACAGCACACTACACAATGTCATTACTTTACAGGACCTTCATATTCCCTACAGACCCATGAGGTCAATGGTTCCCCGGAGGCCGAAGTTTATAGGTCATAACACCATAGCCCACCCCAGGTGTCATTGCTGTTTAATGGTGGTTTAATGACCACTGCTGTCGCCGTATCATTACAATAACTCATCAATGTAAGAGTTCTGTCCCCTATATGTTTAATAGAAATATTGGGAAAGTGGGGTAGCCTTGTGGTTAAAGTGTTCGCTCGTCACGTCAAAGACCCGGGTTCGATTAGCTGCCTGGGTACAATGTGTGAAGCCCATTTCTGGTGTCCCCCGTGGTAATATTGCTGGAATACTGCTAAAAGCGGCGTAAAACTACACTCACTCACTTCCAAAGAAATTTGTCGAGGAAAGTATTACAGTATTGCCACTTTCATCCTCAAATTCAGTTGGAACAGATGAGCCACAAGGCATGATACACATATCCACGTTTCTGAGTGAGTGAGTTTAGTTTTACGCCGCCTTTACCAATATTCCAGCAATATCACGGCGGGGGACACCAGAAATGGTACCCATTGTACCCATGTAAGAAATCGAACCCGGGTTTTCGGCGTGACTAGCGAACGCTTTAACCATGAGGCTACCCTACCACCCCTACAAAACTGTAGAAAATTGAACATATAGATAATCAAAGAAACGCAATGTAAGTGGGGAATCGAACCCGGGTCTTCAGCGTGACGAACGAACGCTTTAACCACTAAGCTACCCCACAACCCCCACGTTTCTAAACTGTGATGACGCTTATATTTGGTACTGATTTTTGCAGGGAGTGTTCTGGTCTCTGATGTATGCCTTCCTGGTCGGGGTGGTGCGTCTGGTTCTGGTTTTGTCTTTCCAGGGGGAAGGCTACTGTGGAGCGTCATCCACCACGACGATGCCTGCACTTGTGAGGAACATTCACTACATGTACTTCGCCCTGTTCCTCTTCCTGTCCACCGGCCTGATAGCTCTTGTCATCAGCTACTTGACGAAGCCTCCACCAGAGAAATACGTGAGTTCACAGAACTTTTCAACTCTCCCGAACCATTCAAGTAATTTTAATGTTCACCTTTAGCAAAGAATCTCGACTGTGATTTGGCAGTCATCATCAATTCAGAGCATTTACCCTTGTGATGCGTATTCATTAAAATCTTTTTCAAATCTTCATTTTCAAGAGGCCTTGGCATTAAGGACGAACAACATGAACACAGTCAACTAGAAAATTAACGCGATCTTTTACACTGACTAACATCAACATGAACACAATCATCTGGCACATTAACGATGTTTTAACGCCAACTTCAATATGAGCAGTATCAACTGAAACATTAGCAGAAGTTGTAATAACAGCATGAACATGAACACAATCTTCTGGCACATTAACGATGTTTTAACGCCAACTTCAACATGAGCAGTATCAACTGAAACATTAGCAGAAGTTGTAATAACAGCATGAACATGAGCACAATCATCTGGCACGTTAACGGGTGTTTAACTACCACATCAACATGAACACAGTCTTCGTGAACATTAACGGGTCTTTAACTACAACATCAACATGAACACAATCATCTGGAACATTAACGGGTGTTTAACTACAACATCAACATGAACACAATCTTCTGGAACATTAACGGGTCTTTAACTACAACATCAACATGAACACAATCTTCTGGAACATTAACGGGTGTTTAACTACAACATCAACATGAACACAATCATCTGACACATTAACGGGTGTTTAACTACAACATCAACATGAACACAATCTTCTGGAACATTAACGGGTGTTTAACTACAACATCAACATGAACACAATCATCTGGAACATTAACGGGTGTTTAACTACAACATCAACATGAACACAATCTTCTGAAACATTAACGGAAACATTAACGGGTGTTTAACTACAACATCAACATGAACACAATCTTATGGAACATTAACGGGTGTTTAACTACAACATCAACATGAACACAATCATCTGACACATTAACGGGTCTTTAACTACAACATCAACATGAACACAATCTTCTGAAACATTAACGGGTGTTTAACTACAACATCAACATGAACACAATCTTATGGAACATTAACGGGTGTTTAACTACAACATCAACATGAACACAATCATCTGACACATTAACGGGTCTTTAACTACAACATCAACATGAACACAATCTTCTGGAACATTAACGGGTGTTTAACTACAACATCAACATGAACACAATCTTCTGGAACATTAACGGGTGTTTAACTACAACATCAACATGAACACAATCTTCTGGAACATTAACGGGTGTTTAACTACAACATCAACATGAACACAATCTTCTGGAACATTAACGGGTGTTTAACTACAACATCAACATGAACACAATCTTCTGAACATTAACGGGTGTTTAACTACAACATCAACATGAACACAATCTTCTGGAACATTAACGGGTGTTTAACTACAACATCAACATGAACACAATCATCTGGAACATTAACGGGTGTTTAACTACAACATCAACATGAACACAATCTTCTGGAACATTAACGGGTCTTTAACTACAACATCAACATGAACACAATCATTCTGGAACATTAACGGGTCTTTTAACTACAACATCAACATGAACACAATCATCTGGAACATTAACGGGTGTTTAACTACAACATCAACATGAACACAATCTGGAACATTAACGGGGACACATTAATCTGGAACATTAACGGGTGTTTAACTACAACATCAACATGAACACAATCTTCTGGAACATTAACGGGTGTTTAACTACAACATCAACATGAACACATCATGAACACAACTCTGGAACATTAACGGGTGTTTAACTACAACATCAACATGAACACAACGGGTGTTTAACGGGTCTTTAACAACATCAACAACATGAACACAATCTTCTGAACATTAACGGGTGTTTAACTACAACATCAACATGAACACAATCTTCTGGAACATTAACGGGTGTTTAACTACAACATCAACATGAACACAATCTTCTGGAACATTAACGGGTGTTTAACTACAACATCAACATGAACACAATCTTCTGGAACATTAACGGGTGTTTAACTACAACATCAACATGAACACAATCTTCTGGAACATTAACGGGTCTTTTAACTCAACAACATCAACATGAACAACACAATCAATCATCTGGAACATTAACGGGTGTTTAACTACAACATCAACATGAACACAATCTTCTGGAACATTAACGGGTGTTTAACTACAACATCAACATGAACACAATCATCTGAAACATTAACGGGTGTTTAACTACAACATCAACATGAACACAATCTTCTGGAACATTAACGGGTGTTTAACTACAACATCAACATGAACACAATCTGAACACAATCTGGAACATTAACGGGTGTTTAACTACAACATCAACATGAACACAATCTTCTGGAACATTAACGGGTGTTTAACTACAACATCAACATGAACACAATCATCTGGAACATTAACGGGTGTTTAACTACAACATCAACATGAACACAATCATCTGGAACATTAACGGGTTGTTTAACTACAACATCAACATGAACACAATCATCTGGAACATTAACGGGTGTTTAACTACAACATCAACATGAACACAACATCATTACATGAACACAATCATCTGGAACATTAACGGGTGTTTTAACTACAACATCAACATGAACACAATCTTCTGGAACATTAACGGGTGTTTAACTACAACATCAACATGAACACAATCTTCTGGAACATTAACGGTGTTTAACTAACATACAACATCAACATGAACACAATCTTCTGGAACATTAACGGGTGTTTAACTACAACATCAACATGAACACAATCTCTCTGGATCACATTAACAATCTTCTGGGTGTTTAACATGAACACAACAACATCAACATGAACACAATCTTCTGGAACATTAACGGGTGTTTAACTACAACATCAACATGAACACAATCATCTGGAACATAAACGGGTGTTTAACTACTGCATCAACATGAACACAATCTTCTGGAACATTAACGGGTGTTTAACTACAACATCAACATGAACACAATCATCTGGAACATTAACGGGTGTTTAACTACACACATCAACATGAACATCAATCAATCTTCTGGAACATTAACGGGTGTTTAACTACAACATCAACATGAACACAATCTTCAAACATTAACGGGTGTTTAACTACAACATCAACATGAACACAATCTTGGAACATTAACGGGGAACATCAAATGAACACAATCATCTGGAACATTAACGGGTGTTTAACTACAACATCAACAGCATCAACATGAACACAATCTTCTGGAACATTAACGGGTGTTTTAACTACAACATCAACATGAACACAATCATCTGGAACATTAACGGGTGTTTAACTACAACATCAACATGAACACAATCATCTGGAACATTAACGGGTGTTTAACTACAACATCAACATGAACACAATCTTCTGGAACATTAACGGGTGTTTAACTACAACATCAACATGAACACAATCTTCTGGAACATTAACGGGTGTTTAACTACAACACAACATGGAACATTAACATGAACACATGAACAATCTTCTGGAACATTAACGGGTGTTTAACTACAACATCAACATGAACACAATCATCTGAACATTAACGGGTGTTTAACTACAACATCAACATGAACACAATCTTCTGGTAACGGGTTTAACTACAACATCAACATGAACACAATCAATCTTCTGGAACATTAACGGGTGTTTAACTACAACATCAACATGAACACAATCATCTGGAACATTAACGGGTGTTTAACTACAACATCAACATGAACACAATCTTCTGGAACATTAACGGGTGTTTAACTACAACATCAACATGAACACAATCATCTGGAACATTAACGGGTGTTTAACTACAACATCAACATGAACACAATCTTCTGGAACATTAACGGGTGTTTAACTACAACATCAACATGAACACAATCATCTGGAACATTAACGGGTGTTTAACTACAACATCAACATGAACACAATCATCTGGAACATTAACGGGTGTTTAACTACAACATCAACATGAACACAATCATCTGGAAATTCGGGTGTTTAACTACAACATCATGAACACAATCTTCTGGAACATTAACGGGTGTTTAACTACAACATCAACATGAACACAATCTTCTGGAACATTAACGGGTGTTTAACTACAACATCAACATGAACACAATCATCTGGAACATTAACGGGTGTTTAACTACAACATCAACATGAACACAATCTTCTGGAACATTAACGGGTGTTTAACTACAACATCAACATGAACACAATCTTCTCGGGTGTTTAACTACAACATCAACATGGAACATTAACGGGTCTTTAACTACAACATCAACATGAACACAATCTTCTGGAACATTAACGGGTGTTTAACTACAACATCAACATGAACACAATCTTCTGGAACATTAACGGGTGTTACTTTAACCACAACATCAACATGAACACAATCTTCTGGAACATTAACGGGTGTTTAACTACAACATCAACATGAACACAATCTTCTGGAACATTAACGGGTGTTTAACTACAACATCAACATGAACACAATCTTCTGGAACACGGGTGTTTAACTACAACATCAATCAATCATCTGGAACATTAACGGGTGTTTAACTACAACATCAACATGAACACAATCTTCTGGAACATTAACGGGTGTTTAACTACAACATCAACATGAACACAATCTTCTGGAACATTAACGGGTGTTTAACTACAACATCAACATGAACACAATCTTCTGGAACATTAACGGGTCTTTAACTACAACATCAACATGAACACAATCTTCTGGAACATTAACGGGTCTTTTACAACATACAACATCAACATGAACACAATCAATCTTCTGGAACATTAACGGTCTTGTTTAACTACAACATCAACATGAACACACAATCTTCTGGAACATTAACGGGTGTTTAACTACAACATCAACATGAACACAATCATCTGGAACATTAACGGGTGTTTAACTACAACATCAACATGAACACAATCATCTGGAACATTAACGGGTGTTTAACTACAACATCAACATGAACACAATCTTCTGGAACATTAACGGGTGTTTAACTACAACATCAACATGAACACAATCATCTGGAACATTAACGGGTGTTTAACTACAAGCATCAACATGAACACAATCTTCTGGAACATTAACGGGTGTTTAACTACAACATCAACATGAACACAATCTTCTGGAACATTAACGGGTGTTTAACTACAACATCAACATGAACACAATCTTCTGGAACATTAACGGGTGTTTTTAACTACAACATCAACATGAACACAATCTTCTGGAACATTAACGGGTCTTTAACTACAACATCAACATGGTGTTTAACTACAACATCAACATGAACACAATCATCTGGAACATTAACGGGTGTTTAACTACAACATCAACATGAACACAATCATCTGGAACATTAACGGGTCTTTAACTACAACATCAACATGAACACAATCTTCTGGAACATTAACGGGTGTTTAACTACAACATCAACATGAACACAATCTTCTGGAACATTAACGGGTGTTTAACTACAACATCAACATGAACACAATCTTCTGGAACATTAACGGGTGTTTAACTACAACATCAACATGAACACAATCTTCTGGAACATTAACGGGTCTTTAACTACAACATCAACATGAACACAATCTTCTGGAACATTAACGGGTGTTTAACTACAACATCAACATGAACACAATCATCTGGAACATTAACGGGTGTTTAACTACAACATCAACATGAACACAATCTTCTGGAACATTAACGGGTGTTTAACTACAACATCAACATGAACACAATCATCTGGAACATTAACGGGTGTTTAACTACAACATCAACATGAACACAATCTTCTGGAACATTAACGGGTGTTTAACTACAACATCAACATGAACACAATCTTCTGGAACATTAACGGGTGTTTAACTACAACATCAACATGAACACAATCTTCTGGAACATTAACGGGTGTTTAACTACAACATCAACATGAACACAATCTTCTGGAACATTAACGGGTGTTTAACTACAACATCAACATGAACACAATCTTCTGGAACATTAACGGGTGTTTAACTACAACATCAACATGAACACAATCTTCTGGAACATTAACGGGTGTTTAACTACAACATCAACATGAACACAATCTTCTGGAACATTAACGGGTGTTTAACTACAACATCAACATGAACACAATCATCTGGAACATTAACGGGTCTTTAACTACAACATCAACATGAACACAATCTTCTGGAACATTAACGGGTGTTTAACTACAACATCAACATGAACACAATCTTCTGGAACATTAACGGGTGTTTAACTACAACATCAACATGAACACAATCATCTGACACATTAACGGGTCTTTAACTACAACATCAACATGAACACAATCATCTGACATACATTAACGGGTCTTTAACCTACAATACACAATCTTCTGGAACATTAACGGGTGTTTAACTACAACATCAACTGAACAATCATCTGGAACATGAACACAATCAACATGAACACAATCATCTGGAACATTAACGGGTCTTTAACTACAACATCAACATGAACACAATCTTCTGGAACATTAACGGGTGTTTAACTACAACATCAACATGAACACAATCATCTGGAACATTAACGGGTGTTTAACTACAACATCAACATGAACACAATCATCTGGAACATTAACGGGTGTTTAACTACAACATCAACATGAACACAATCTTCTGGAACATTAACGGGTGTTTAACTACAACATCAACATGAACACAATCTTCTAGAACATTAACGGGTGTTTAACTACAACATCAACATGAACACAATCTTCTGGAATATTAACGGGTCTTTAACTACAACATCAACATGAACACAATCAAAGAAGATATATAGAAGATGAATATCACTTCTTACTTATTTGGAATAAATATCAAGCATTGCGGCGACTGTATATCCCTTTACACTTTTATGAATATCCAACAATCCAAAAAATTAATACGCTTCTGCAATCATCAAATGCAAGCATCTTAAAACATTTATCAGCATATATATATCAAGCTATGTTACTGAGACAGTCTTCATTATAACATATTTTCTCACTCTGTAATTCTCAAAGTGTAATCTGGGCCTATGACCTATATTACTTTTCTGAAATAAACCACCATATAACTACAACATCAACATGAACACTATCAAAGCGCAAGTTTTTACACTGACACCAACTTGAACAACATCAAAAGGTACGTTAACGCAAACTATATTTTTTTTTTACCAGCAACATCAATATGAACATGGACCTGAACGGTTTTAAGGCAGGTCGTAGCTTGAACATAATATTATGAGCCTGTTGTCGTAAAGCTTAAGCCGACCACCAATATGAAGGTCCTGTCTCTTTAGCCTACTCGACCTCCTTATTCACACTGAATATCGCTAAAATGAAACTAGGATTCCATGAGCCTGCAAATGGATAACGAGCCCAGAATAAAACGATGGCTTTTCTTTTGTTTTATTAGCTGCAGAACACCACATTGTGGAGCTACTACAGCAGGGACAGACAGATCAGTGAGGACAGGGAAGATGCAGAAGTCGACCTGCAGAAAATGAGCGATGAAGACATTCACGAACCCAACACCGTTAAATCTGGGGACGGCCATGTTGATAGCTCAACGACTTTTTGAAGATGGAAACCTGGGAGAGAAGGCTGATGGTCTACTTCGCGTAAAGACAAAAGGTGATCCTATTAATACGGATATATTCTACATATTTATCCTTTGCTCGCGTTTAGTGACTTTAATTTTACGCCGCTTAAAGCAATATTCCAACAATATCACGGCGGGGGACATCAGAAATGGATTTACACATTGTACCTATGTGGGTATCGAACCGGGTTCTTCGGTATGACAAGCGGACGCCTTAACAAACAAACCACTACTGCAACCCAGGCCGGTTTATGTTAAAACATCTTCCATATCTCCATGGCAACCAGTTCAGTAAATAAACACTTACTGGGCCCTTGCATCTTTTCCCATGGTTCTCGGAGCTCAAGTTTCCCTACCTTAAGTTTCATTTATGTCTTTGACGTTCTACACCACTCTGTGTATTGTACCAGTGAGAATATGGCACACAAACCAGCCTCAATGTTGGGTAGGCGATATCAATACTTTGGCGGGCGGTGGGGTAGCCTAGTGGTTAAAGCGTTCGCCCGTCACACCGAAGACCCGGGTTCGATTCCCCACATAGGTACATAGGTGTGAAGCTCATTTCTGGTGTCTCCCGTCGTGATATTGCTGAAATATTGCTAAAAGCGGCGTAAAACTAAACTCACTCACTCACTCAATACTTTGACAATGTGGGGTTATCTCCCGTTTCGTACTTTTTTCTCATCTCGATTTTTGACAAATCGGTAAAAAATTGTATATATAAAAATCAATGGCGCGTAACTGGAGATCGCAAAACCACGAGAAATAGTGTAATTTTACCGACGTGCGGAGATACTGTGAATGAGTGAGTGAGTATGGTTTCAGACCGCTTTTAACAATATTCCAGCAACGTCACGGGGACTAGAGACACAGAGGATTAACCACTTTTATTTTGAGAATATGCTGTTTTTTATCAATGAAGTTGAAATAGATTGGACTGAAAGATATATCCTAAAGAGTGGTATTATTTGAAATAACAAGTCCCGCAAAACATAGTTATTAACCCTACAAGAGTTATTTCCGTTCAAATGTCGATCGAAGTGTCTGCGAAAACAATCCAAAGCTTTACGTTGCATTCTGCAGCCGAAATAAAGAAAAACGGATGACATCGGTGTTGACAACACAAAAAAGCACCTAAAAGTATGTATAGTATATATCATAAACTCCTTACATGGCCATTTGCCAGGAAGTATGAGATGGTAAGGCTCATTTGAATCCGAATATCCAAACCAAACGGGTCCCATCTCATATAAAGGCAAATGATTCCATTACCCTTTAGAGTTTTTCATGCTTTTTGTCTGTTTTCCAGACCGTTTTCATCATCTTCTCTTCTATTTACAAACTAAAAGTACCAGTGCTCAAACATTCCGTTTTAAATTCAATCAGAAGATGTATTTGCATCACACGCGTGTCACCAACAAACGAAGGCAAAAACATTTCTAGAAGCGGCTGTAAAATCAAGACAAATTTATATTTTCAATCTCTAATCGGCGTCTTGAGGCAACGCCATTTGTGATGGGTAGGTTAATGCTGTTTACCTCTTTAATTATATTTCAGGTCTATTCCGGCAGCCTTTTCCAAACAAATTGTTTTCAAGTTATAGGTTACATAATGCTCCTTCTTTAACCATTCAGTTTCTGATCTGACGGGACTACTGAGCTCGTGTTGTATGCTGAATGTAAACACCCTTGGATTTATCTTACATTTGGTCTTTTTCAAAGAGGCGACAAACGAGATCGCCGTCATATAGCTGGAATATTGCGAGATCGCCGTCATATAGCTGGAATATTGCTGAGTTGGAGTTAAACAAACAAATAATTTATCATGCAAGTGTAAATATGTCCCACAGATCTACCGAGCATGATCAGGTGGGTGTTCTACAACCTGAGTGAGTGAGTTTAGTTTTACGCCGCTTTTAGCAATATTCCAGCAACATCACGGCGGGGGACACCACAAATGGGCTTCACACATTGTACCCATGTAGGGAAATCGAAATCGGGTCTTCAGCGTGACGGGCGAACGCTTTAACCACTAGGCTACCCCACCGCCCCATATACAACCTGAACGATGCTCACCATGTCAACGACTGGATCATTTACAGGTATTTAAAACACAGACAAATAAATTATCATGCAATTATAACTATATCCCTCAGATCCACCGAGCATGACCAGGAGAGTGTTTAACTACCTGTTGGGTATCAGCAACTCCGAAGACAAACTAGATGATGACCAAGCACTCAAAGATCACCTGCAGGTCCTGGCAGCCCTCAAACAGACCAGGCTTGAGAAAACAATCCTCACAGTCGGCCTCATGAGCATCCTCACCGTTGGTGTAGCCATGTTCATATTCTGGTCAGTTCATGTGTTCCACACGGGGCAATTCTACCCTGAAGGTGCCGAAAGTCTTTTACCTGGAGATGAACAATTCCTTCAAAATTTCACGAATCATGGTACCATATCACATACCGGTACCAATAACAGTAGCTTTAGCCCACCGTAGGAATATGACAGAAGTGTTAATGTGTATACCCTGACCTGCAATGTCGAGTATTTTTAATCGACCATTGGTTGGCGAACCGAAGCCACAAAACCATTCGCATATTCAAGGAAGAAATTTGCGCTAAAAGCAGTGTGGATCGTACGAACACGATCGCGAGATCATAGGAATTTATTTATCACTTTCTTTACACCTGCAATAACTTATTTTAATTCTCTTCATGTAAAGAACTTGATATTTATGAATATTATGTCCATATTGTAGACGGCTTGATGGCTACTTAAGTCGTTATTTATTCTTTTGTATTTGAAATAATTTTATATATTTTCATAAAGTAAAACACCGTTATTCCTGAGGGTAGCATCACAGCATAATTTTCTGGATGAGCTTTAGCCAATGTAGATTTCCATGTTTGATGAGTGAGTGAGTATGGTTTTACGCCGCTTTTAGCAAATGAATATTACAACAATGTAACGGCGGGGGACACCAGAAATGGGCTTCAAACATTGTATCCATGAGAGGAATCGAACCCGGGTCTTCCGCGTGACGAGCGGACGCTTTATCGACTAGGCTACCCCACCGACTCCCATATTTGATGATGACTAAATGTAACAACGTAGAACATGGTTACTCGATGGTGATGTATATCACACGCCTCGTCTTGTGTTTTGGAATTTTGCAATATTTAACTGTTAGCACCTCAGTAACGTTCAGATAAAGTTCGTAATTTTTAGGTCAAGACCAATTTTTAGTGAAAACATTTTTTTTGACTGGCAGTAAATTTTAGCGTGTGTAGTGGAATGTATTCTGGGTTTCGGATTACCGAAGTTTAACTGTTGTGTTGTGATCTACCTTCAGATGTTGGCAATCAATAGCCTGTTTTTATATTGTAATGTCTTCTTTAGTTAGCATATTTTAGATTTACATCGTAGTTTTATACTCATAATTGTAATATTCTAGTTGTTTATACTGTCCTTCGTTGACAGGCTTTTTATAATTTACATGTAAACCTTGTTTTAGTAACGATATGGCTGAAATATTGCCGATGTGACTTTAAATCTTAACTCACTCACTCACTGTTGTGTTGTATCAGAATACTGCTCATATCCTGACGATTGAAAAACGTGTGTTAGAATGTATTCGCTGAAAGACAGGAAATACCAACGACTTGTGTTGTAGGTATCACCCGTGTAGAGATCCGGGTTAGAATTGGTCTTCAGTAACCCATGCTTGTCGTAAGAGGCGACTAACGGGATCGGGTGGTCAGGCTCGCTGACTTGGTTGACACATGTCATCGGTTCCCATTTGCGTGGAACGAAGCTCATGCTGTTGATCACTGGATTGTCTGATCCAGACTCGATTATTTACAGACCGCCGCTGGAATATTCCAGAGTGTGGCGTTAAACAACGAACCAACAAATCTTGTAAGGTATAGCTATTTATTGCCCATGTTGTTGTACAAGTTGTTGTACGCTATGATACACGTGTGTGATAACACGTGGAGTATTTTGTCTAACATCTGAACTCTCGCCATCTTTGTACTACCTTTGTACCGCCTCCTTTGTACCTTCTATGTACCGCCTTTAATAGAAGTATTAGTTGAATCATGTAAACAAAATCGGATACCCTAGCAGTGTACTGAGTTGAACTGAAATTACATGGGGTATGAGATCAAAGAAATTATCAGTTGACAAATCCCCGAAAGAGAGAGTGAGTTTAGTTTTACGCCGCTTTTAGCAATATTCTAGCAATATCACGGCGGGGGACACCAGAAATTGGCTTCACACACTGTACCCATGTAGGGAATCAAACCCGGATCTTTGACTCGACGAGCGAAGGCGCAAACCACCAGGCTGCCCCACCGCTCCTCCGAAAGAAATCAGGCATATCAGCACCTTTGTTTTCAAAATGAACATAGACAAAGAAGTTTTCGTAGATCAGAAAAAACAATAGGTTGGGATTTAACCATGAAGGGACTATGATGGCAACTCGATGGATACTCCGGTACTATGTTTATTTCATTGAATATTTGAAGTGAAATTATTATCGATGAATTGCAATACCAACAGAATAAATACACATGTAGTATCCAAAAAAAGAAAAGCATAGGCCAGAAATCTGTTGCGAAAATGTTCAAACATGTATAACTCGTCCACAAATAGACTTTGGTGCATGAAATTTTACAACAGTTTAGAAGAAGGAATGTCTCTACAACCAAGTGGATAATTTTAGGTAACGGAGACGTTGAGCGCGATGGTGATGACGTAGCATGGTCCCGACGTCGGGTCTCCTGGCTCTCAGTCCAGTCTCTCTCAACCTGTTCCGTACAGTTTGACCGGATATCTTCTGTGCTCTCATTCGTGGCAGCACGATCACGCATATGTAGTACCCGGTGGTACCGATTTTGGGCTGCAGTGGTGACTCGAGGTCTGTCTGTACGGGAACGGTCATTTGTTATACCTGTTCGGTTGTACCGAGCTTCAAGCCGTGATATCGTGCTCAGACTATTATTCAGACGCCTTGCAACAGACGATTGGTAATCTCCAGCGTGCATTCTGTCAATGGCGACGTTCCGTGTCGCAGCGTCAAGACGTGGCGTAGTGATTTGACCTTGAAACTCCTTCAAAACAAATGCCGATTTCCGAAAATAATCTGGATTTTTATAGCCAGACAGTGCATGCTCTTTGCTGCACAATTTCAACTGGCAGGTGATTTTTGTTGCGTTGTGGCGATGTGTTTTTTATCCTTTTAAGAAATCTCATCAAAATCAACATTTTCAGGTAAAGTCGATTTTTTCTTGTGCAATTGTGTAAAATCATGTTATCAACACGTTTGTTACATATTTTGACGATTGTTTGAACACAATAGGTAATTAATAGATTTTTAGAAATACAAAGCGCCTATGCGTTTCTTTTTTGGGATAGTATATAATAACAATAATAGAATCATCATAACCCTGTTTACCGCATATGCATGTTTGGTTTATCCAAATCTGTAAATGATAATATTACTAATACATGCATTTATATTACGCAACAATTCACGAAATAAATAACAGCCAGTCTTTAACAACTTAAAGACTTTTGTCCTAAACCGGGGTCTGAAAGAAGAAATAGTGGATTAGATTAAAGGTTATCAAACATCCACTTCTAAAGATGTCGCAGCCAATGAGAGGATTAATGTTGTTTTTCCGTACAAGTTTTAACTTTGGAAACTTGTAGGGATTCTGTTATTGAGAGTTAGGTGTGGAGAGCAAATATCGGAATGAGTTCACAGAGGTAGGCAAGTGTGGGGTTATAATAACGTGTGTAGGCTTGCATGGGGATACCCGTGTTTGTCGTAAGAGGCGACTAACGCGATCGGGTGGTCAGGCTCGCTGACTTGGTTGTCATCGGATCCCATTTGCGTAGATCGATGCTCATGCTGTTGATGACTTGATAGTCTGGTCCAGACTCGATTATTTACAGACTGCCGCCATATAGCTGGAATATTGCTTAGTGCGGCGTAAAACTAAAGCCACTCACTCACTTTTATGAGGATCTTGTAGTTGACATGTACAGCAACTTGCAGCCACTGGATGTTTGGAGACAGACTTGGAACCTATGATATTATAATGGTTGTTTTATTCCATAATTCTATTGAAGTCGGAAGTCTGACTCTTCGATGACATACACAAGGAGGCTGTTAAGATTTTATTTCAAATTTGAATAGAGACGTAAAGGGTTTGGTGAAATATGGCCGAATTTTCCCAATATGTCTTGAGATAAAACTTAGCTGCCTGGAACACAGTTGTTACTTGGTTGTTCATTCTGATCTGCAATCAAGAAGTACGGCCAGATGTTTCACCTTATCAGAGTGAGTGAGTATGGTTTTATGCCGCTTTAAGCAATATTCCAGCAACATCACGGCGGGGGACACCAGAAATGGGCTTCACACATTGTACCCATGTGGGGATTCGAACCCGGGTCTTCAGCGTGACGAGCGGACGCTTTATCCACTAGGCTACCCCACCGACTCCCATGTTGATGATGACTAAATGTAACAACCATTAGGCCCCTGCAATCAAGAAGTACGGACAGATGTTTCACCTAATCAGAGTGAGTGAGTGTGGTTTTACGCCGCTTTTAGCAATATCACAGCAGGTGACACCAGAAATGGACTCAACTTTACACATTGTACCCATGTGGGAAATCGAACTCGGGTCTTCGGCGTGACGAGCGAACGCTTTAACCACTAGGCTTACACCCCACCCCCACCCCCACCCCCACCCCATGTGAGGAAATATGTACATATAAATATTTGAGTCTGCCACACCAACAACTGGAAGACCGCCTTCAACGTAAGAAAGTGAGTGAGTATGGCTTTACGCCGCATTTAGCAATATTCAAGCAATATCACGACGGGGGACACAGGGAATGGGTCACACACGTTGTACCTATGTGGGGAATCGAACTCGGGTCGAACGAGCCAAAGGTTTAACCACTAGGCCACCCCACCGTCCCGACCAACACCAAGACTCCTACTTCACTGGACGTTTCTGAATATTGTGCACAGTTTATTTCATATCGTATTGTTTAAGTTGTTTTGTGAAGTGAAGACGTTTTGTAAAGTGTTTATATATTCTGTCTAAGAAGTGAATTCAACATATTACAAAACACTTTTTCGGCATAAACATATTTGTAAAATTGCTATACCATAAAAAACACTGGAAACTTTACTTCAAAATCTTTGTTGACACGTCATTGCATCCCAATTGCGTAGATCGATGCTCATGATGTCAGTCACAAGATTGCCTTTGAAAGACTCGATTTTTTTCAGACCGCCGTCATACAGCTGTAAAATTGCTGAGTGTGGCGTTAAACAACAAACAATTGACAAGTCGGAGAACAAGAGTGAGTGAGGTTAGTTTTACGCCGCTTTTAGCAATCTTCCAGCTATGTCAAGGCAGGGGACACCAGAAATGGGCTTCACACATTGTACCCATGTGGGGAATCGAACTCAGGTCTTCGACGTGACGGGGGATCGCTTTAACCACTAGGCCACCTCACC